ACTTGCTCTTGTGGCAACACAGATGTAGGTAAGACAGCTCATGCAAGATCAGAAAAACGTTGCCAAAATGAGACTCAAACTCAGGATCACAAAGGTTACTTTCATTCCAGCCCTGGAGAATAGCAGTCTAATATAAGTACTGTCTTTGTAGAAAAAAGATTTTTAAATAATGTTTAGGCCTTAATTTTCAGTACAAAGCAAAGCAATATCAGTTTATCCAAGCTAAAATTGTAATGAGAGGCTCTGTAATTAGGCTTAGAAGGATTCACTTTGATTAGAAAAATGTCCTATCCAACCACTTTCAACCTCCCAGGTATTTGAATATCTGACATCTCTTATTTTGGCATCTGCAGGGAATGACATCTTGTTAATTACTCATGATCATACTCCATTTTTATGGCTTTAGAAAGACTGGAGATCCTGTAATAGTAAGGGGATCCTGAATGCCCTGACTCAACAACTGTTGGCAGCTAACAGGTCCCTAAGTCCGAGCCAGTCTCTGGAGGCTTCTTTTATAGCCATTGGAATGACTTAGGTGTTTTATTGACAAAGGCAGGTAAGTTGGGACAGCATATTCCCACATTTTGTGTCTGCTTCTCTCTTTGAAAGTGCCTTTTTATATCTCTGGAAGCTGAAGCAGAGGTACCGCATTCAAGCACTGATTGTTTGATTATGGTTTGCAGCAGGGGAAACTGCTGAACTGCACTATCCAGTTACCAGTTGGGCTTATGAAACCTGCCAGAATGAGGAAGATTAGATGCATAAGAAAATAACTCAGTGCTTTAGAAAGGCTCATCAGTAGTTTGACAGGTCTGGGCATGAAATTTTAATATGTTTTCTTTTAAACTCCGTCTTCTCAGAAGCAGATGTAGTGATACGTGTTATTCATTCCTTTCCAGAACATTGTCCCTCCAGTTCTGTTTATTCTCTTGCTCAATTTTTCATTTGCCTACTCTTTTCCACTTCAAATTTTAGCTTTCAAAGAGCAGGCTCACTTTCTTATGGTGTTTCTAAAGCACAGAAGAGGTTGCAGTGCTAACCTGTGTATTTGGAACCTCAGTACAAGCATTAAATAATAAGAGCAGCTGCCTTGTAATAAGTGGTTATGGGAAACTTGACTGTGTGCAAGTTCAGTTTTATTGCATACTTAATGAGTCTCATGAATCCACATTAAAGCTAAAATTACAGTTGCATTTTCTAAAGCTGTCATAACATGACTGTCTCCTAGGTAGTGGTAGTTTTAAATTGGTTGAATTACACACTTAATTTTCATATCAAATATTTTCCAGCTAAGAATATGAAAGCAATTACCTGTTTTGGTACAGATCCTTTTTCCCCTCTGGGTGCATGACCATCACCAGTGCATCTTGCTCTTGGCAGTCTGCCTTTACAGTCTATTGCTGTAAATTTATTTTCAACCTAAAAAACCAGAAATTAAGATGGACAAACTTTGAAAAAAACTGTGTTAAAAAAAAAAAAAAGAAAAGAAAACCAAGACATGTCTGTTTTGCTCCTTTTAGAAGGTACTTTCCCTGGAAATTGCTTTTCAGGATAATTGCCTCCTAAAGGAGCTTTGCTAAGAACAACCCATCCAGCTGGTTTATGAAGGTGCTGGGCTGTTATACAGCAATATTAATAATAAAAAACACAATAGCTGAAAAACATTCCTTGATACTGCAGAAATAAGTGAACTTGTCTAGGAACAGAAAAAGCAGCATGTACTCTAAAGGTTGTTGCTACCTGTGAGCATCCTCTGAGGGTCTGTGGAGGCCGGTGGGCTCTGCTGTTGTATTTTGTAGCACTCGAGTGCGACTCAAAAGTGCAAAGATCTCAGGCACTGAAAAAAAGGATCCCTTTGAGCACCTGATTATAGGAATGGCCAAGCTGAATTGCTTCCTTGCTTAAAGATCATCCCCAAATCACACACATTTGAGTTTAAATTTATAGCATTTTTTTGTCTTCTTGACAAATGTGTTACACAAGAGGTGTAAGCAAACCAGTGGTAACAGGATTTCACTGTCAAGCAGGTCCTTCTTGCCAAGGTACAAAAGGAAGGCTTCACAGGCTCTGTAAAGAGTCTCAGCATTGCTGCAGGAACAGGGAGGGAGCCCAGGGAAGCTGCCTCTCCCTGTTGGAGAAATCCCATCAAATGGTCTCATATTCATGCTAAACAACAAAGGAGGGAACTGTTCCCCCCAAATAACCCCCCTAGTTCACCCTGCTGCTATCAGCCATTTTTGCTGTCTGGCAGATCTGTGAAGGGCAGCCCCAAACACACTGGCAGAACCTCAGAGTGCCAAAGCAACAGTCTGGGGCAAGGGCTGCTCAGAGGATGCCAAAGGATCCCTTGTAAGCAGAGGATTGTGCCCGCCCTTAGTCTGAACCAGCTCTGAATGCCACAGTCAGTGCTGGAGGGACCTGACCCTGCTGGACTGCCCCCAAGTCATGGGCATGCAGGGCTCACAGCTCCCCTTGGCCAGAGGGGGGAAGGTTGGATACCCACTGGCATCAGGAAATGGTTTCTGGGCTCCATCCATTCGCTCCAGTTCAGAATAATTCTCTCTTACCTGTGTCAGTAATCCAAATCCATCAACAGCAACCATGCAATCAACTCAGCCATGAAAGTCAAGTAAAGACAAGCCAAGTGAAACTAGAGAGATATTTTATGTTAAACTAACAATATTTTCATAGCCCAGCCCAAGTTCTCAGTGGACAGATTATGTGGAACATTTTCATGTAGGAGAACTGGAAAGAGCTGAAATCGTGCCTGGGAGGTGCAGGACAATTGGGCCTGGGCAGTAGAACTGCTACTGCATAGAAGGAAGGAGGAAAAACTGACATCCAGGCCATCCTGATCCCATTGAGGTAAAGAAGCAGGTTCATATTAAACAGAAAGTCCAAGAAGCAAGATTTTCATGTGCTAATGACAGTGGCAAGCCCTGAAAGGAAATGTCTCAGGTCAGACTTTGCAAGGAAAGCATTAAAGGTAACTATCAACACTGGTGACTACTTAAAAGCAAAAGATATAGACTTTTAACTGCTCCAAACAACTCATACTTGCTCTGCAACTCAGATAAGTGGATGGGTGAACAAAATCAGCTGTACTGTGTCTTGAAATATCTCCATGGAAACTCAGTCATCTTCTGAAGTCAAAATGTGTTCTGCATGATGATTCAATAAATCAGTGGCATAGATTTTCCCCATGTGTATGTGCCAAGTCCCACTACAGAATAGAGGTCTGAAAATCCATAAAATTTAGGGTTTTCCTGGGACAATTTTGAGGAAGGTAAGCAAGAACAGAATATTTCATAGAATCATACAGCCCCTTTGCCTCTGGTCTTGGGCAACTTAGGCAAAATTTTTGATGATATTGTAGCTCCAGCTGGAGCAATGAACTCCAGGTAGGTGGAACATTAATACCAAGTGCAAGTGGAAGCTGTTCACCACGTTCAGCAAGATGGAAGAGAAAGAGATTTAATAGGAGGAAAAAGGCTAGAAAGAATTGCGTGTCATGTGCTTTAAAAATAACAGTTTAAAAAGCAGGGCTACTACATCCACTCTGCTGAGGTTAAGGAATTGGTTCTGAATCCTTTAGACCTGTGTTCAAATGCCTGATTGGGTTCAAGAACCAATGAACTTGGCATTCCTTCATCCTATTACTGATTGAAGCACGTTCCAGCCTGGGCTCTCCTCCCAGGGGACAACTCCAGCCTCTGCTTGCGGGAAGCTGGGGTGGAAAAGTGGAGGTGTTATGAGAAACGAGGTGTGTTTGGAGTTGTGCAAGAGAAGCTTCATGTGCAGAAGAGTCCTCAGGCAAATCAAACCCCTTGGTTTGGCACCATCTCAAAGGCTAAAACAATTGCTTAATTTTAAGAACCCTTTCTTTATCAGATCTTTTGTCCTGTGACTCCTGTGTGGAAGTAAATGCACCTTCCTGTCCACTGGCTTGCCTGAAATCCAGCAGAGTAAGGGGCTTTGATGGGATTTATTGTGTGAACTGTACAGGCTGACATGCATCCCATCTGCTGAATGTTACATTCAGGTGCCCTGAACTCACCAACAGGAACACACCCCACGCCTTGCTGCCCACACAGAAGCCCCTGCAGCTCTGACACTGAATTTCAGGGGAGAACAGGCACAATCTCATCGGAGCAGTTGAACTGGCCCATCAGAAAAGTACAGCATGCCCTTCTGTTACATCTCTTCAGTTTAATGAGCCTGAGAATTACTCTGATCCAGCTTTATGTTTTTAAAACCAGTGAGAAAGCATCCTCACTTTATAAAAGGCAATGCATATTTTTTTATCCTCAAAAGTGTCAGAATGATGGCTCATGTCAAGGGTTTTATAAGCAGGAAAAAAGCTTCTATTTTCTGAAAACCAGTTCCCCTTGGTACCTCTGCTGCAGGCTCTGGAAGGAAGGGGGCTGGTCCAGTCCTCCTGAGACATGAAGCTGAGGTTCTGTGCAGAGCAGGTGCTGGCAGGGCAGTGACTCGGGCCCTGCAGACTGCTTTGAACAGAACATCCCCTAACAGTGCCCTTGGCTGCCGATACTGTGCTCAAAATGCATATTTTCTTACCAAGGCCAGCTTAGAAGTTAAAAATGTGGTTAATAATTAGGGGAGTGGGATCACATGCAGACTCCAATTTAAGCTTTTAAATCCTTGGGAATACAGTCAGGACACATTTGGTGCTGGGAAGCTCTGTGGTGGCACACTTGGAGCCAGGACTGAGCAGCTGTGTGGGGGCAGGGACCAGAGAATGAAATAAAGCTACTTGTTGACTGCCTGTAAAATTGGCTTCTAAAGGGAGTGCCACGGAGCACCCTCCATTGCCAAGGGACAGAGAGTCCTTTTCAGCTACTCTAGATAAAACCATAATTACACTCTGTGTGTTCCTGTTCAGAACGGTTGGTTGTGGGTTATTCAGTTTAATATTTAAAAACAGGATAGTCCTCTCCCATGCCACCTTAACCCTGGGCTGTTTTTCTCTTTCCTTCCAGATGCTGGAGAGCTCTTCAGCCCCTTTGTTCATTGTCTTCATCCTGCTTTTCATTTTGCTGCTCTTTGTGGTGCTCATCAGGAAAAACGGCACTGCCGCCCTTATCTGGAATGAAATAATCCGGGAGAAAGTCACCAATTTCATCATGAACCAGAGCAAAGAACAGAGGATTTTAAATTTCGTGCTGCAGAACGCGGTGCGAGGAGACCCCCGGAGCGTGGTGGACACCATAGACAAATACTGCTCCCAGAAGGAGTGGGCCATGAACGTGGGCAATGAGAAAGGTAACTGCAGCAGGGATCAGACCCTTCAGGACTAGCACAGAGCAGGACAGCTCATTGTACTCACATGGGAACCTCCATCTGCTGCTGCTGCAAAACAAGCACCCCCCCAGGCCTGTGGGCAGTGCTGCCCGCTCGGGGGGAGGGTTTGCACCGGGGTGTCCACTGACCCATCCACCAAGTCACAGGACCAAAGCTGGGGTTTGTGTAGTGCACACTGAGAGTGTGTGAGCAGAGGGTGACAATTTATGGGGAAAATCTCGGGTTGTGTTACACCTCAGTTCCTACACAGGGTCCCCTTAAGGCATAGTTCATTATGGTATGTACTTTCAGATCCTTAACAAGATAGTAAATTGAAAAAAAAAGAAGGATGTTAAACTATATGAATTTTGTGTATGCAAGCATAAGTTAGAAGTTTCTGTTGAAGAAAGAAATCCTTCCCATGTCACACAGTGTCAGACACTTGCTATTTAGCAAGCAAATCATCTTGTTCTTGTCTCCTAAAGGAAAGTATGGCAACAAAAAATTTTTTTCTTAGCTGCAGGAAAGTGGCAATCTTTTCAAAAAACTATAATGGAAAATGTTAACATGTTCCCTTATGTATTAGAAACAAAAGTACCTCTTGCTGGGAAGTTGCAGGGGAAATATGCTTAGTCTGGGATTATCACAGTTAATGAAATACAACTCTAAGCATTGTAATAAAAATACTTCTCTGTCATGGGTATATTTTTTGAAAGTAGCTCCTCATTGTAAAAGGCAGAGTAGGAATTCTTAAAGCTCCAAACTTTGAACATTTGTGATTATATTCTTAATAATTTCACTCTAGTTTTGCTCTGATAAGATGGCCTTTCCTCAGATAAGAGCCATTAAAGTTAATGCATCTTTAGTTTCTAAGATTTCAAGTGACCACATGGCCTCAAGATGCATCATCATTATCATCATCATTATCACAATATTCATAAACAAATAACACCCAGAAAAATATCACTTAATGAAGTGTATACAGACATTGAAAAATTCCATGGCTTAGTGTAAAATCCCTTCAAATACTTTTCAGTTTAGTTATCTAGTTTCCAGCCATACAACTAAGAGGAAATAGTTTTCTCACCCATAAATCCTTTTCTTCAGAAGGACACAATACAGTACACTGTCACTTCTTTTTGGGAACATTTTTGTTGCTCACAATTGACTAATGTTTTCCATCCCACAAAGTCATGTAGTGAATCCAATTATTTTGTGACTTTGTATATAGATTTTTCTTTTTTCCTTTAAAGATCAGTATTTAGGATAAGAAATTTTGTACCAGACTACAGCATGTAACATGTGCTACAACCAAGAGCATTCAAAATTCAGGAGTTATATATTTCACAAATATAGCCAGTTTCTGCAAAAAATTCTTGGAAAAAACCACTACATTTCCCCCCCTAACACTATAAATTAGTTAATTCAGCGAATTATATAAGTTACTTTCTGGGAATATAAGTTAAATCACGGAATTCTTTACTCAGAAATGTTTATTGTTATTATTGTAAACTATGGGGTTTTTTTAGTTGAAAAAATATTGAAAACTTCAAATGTCAACTTTGTGATCAACTCGATCACAAATAAGCCAGTTTGCCAAGGATAGGGTATAAAATTTAACATCAAGCCTTCATTTTTGAATGTCCTGAGCAACTGAGCACATGGATTTTGTAAGTTCCTTGTCACTAACTTGCTCTTCTGTATGTGAACCAGCTTGCTTTTGTCCAAAGGTAACCTATTTGCATTTTAATCAGGTTTGATTTTAGACAAGACAGTGGAAGAGGTGAACCCCTCGGTTGCCCTGGAGCTGGGCTCGTACTGTGGCTACTCAGCAGTGAGGATTGCCCGGCTCCTCAAGGCAGGGGCTCGTCTGCTCACTGTGGAGTTCAACCCAGAGTTTGCTGCCATAGCCAGACAGATGATTGAGTTTGCTGGAGTACAAGACAAGGTAAATACCATTTTGTCTGTGACCACAAGAGCAAAACTGGTTAGAATTTGTATTCTTTCTTTTTTCTTGCACCCACAAGTCCTTCTTAGTTTAACCAGCTCCCTGCCAAGTTCCATCCCTGCCTTCCCACAGCAGTACAGCTGAGGACTCCACTGGGTTATCTCCCAGACTAGAATGCTGCTTTCCTCTATAAAAACAAAAAGGTTCTAATTTCTGTCAAGACTGACTACAAAAAACTGAACCACAGTCTAGTTTGTTACAAAAGCTCACTAGAAACAGCTGTACTATGTGCAATGGACTTCAAATGAGAAGAATTTACCCAAATCTAGTTGGTCACTATATATCTATCTATATATATCTATATGTATCTATATATCTGAATTTTGTGCATGGAGGTGTCTTGACTCTCTGTACAGTTGGTTGAGATGCAGGTGTTTCCAGTCTAGAATCCATCTCATCCCAAGGCAGAGATCTGCAGCAGGTTGGGGGATTCCTGCCTGGAAGTGCCCATTTGCCTGACAGCTCACTTAGTGGAGCTGAGAACACCAGGGAAAATAAACCCCACCACGGACCTTCTAACATGCTTCTGAACTCTTTGAAGAGAACCTGAAGTACTACTGACATCTAAAACTGCATTTTCCCCATCTGATTTAATCTCTGAGCAGCTGTGAGTCATAAACCAGACATTTCCCCAGCACTTTCTGCCTCCTCTCACAGTATGTGGTGCTTGCCTGACAAACCCACGTGCAGCAGCTGCCCCCAGTTTAACAGTGCTCACACCAGCAAACCTGGTGGGAAGATAGAACAGCCTCTGGCCTGCCCCTTTCCTCTCCTGGCCATAGCAATTTGACATACTGTAGCCTCCAGCTTTATTCTAAACTAACCTGGTCTCTGCATTTTTTGGTTCCCTTGGACTGTAAGATTCAACTGAGATGTAACTAGAAAAAGTAATTAAAGTATATTTTTCAACAGGAGATTCCCATGTTCCCAGTAAAGATACACATTATCCAACAGAAACAACAGGTCACTTTTGCTGCTGTTATTTTAAAAAAACAACAAGATCCCAAAACACCCAAATCCATATTTGGGAACATAACTGAGTTGGTTTGTCAAAAAGAAAAAAGTACACCTTATCTAACCCTGTTGAGATAATTCAATTGACACAATACTGAGCTATACAGAGGATTGCTGATGTCTGGCCACAATTTAAAATGAGCTAAAAGCATGTGCTTTTTCTTAATGGTTCACAATTCATCAGATGGATTTGTATTTCAGGTTAAACTCCTAGAAGGCCCTTCACAGGAAATTATCCCCCAGCTGAAAAAAAAATATGAAGTAGATACTTTGGATTTTGTGTTCCTGGACCACTGGAAAGACAGATACACACCAGACACCATCCTGCTTCAGGTCAGTTTGCACAATTCCAGTCTTAAAAGTGAAGTAGCAAATGCCTTGATGTTTGCGAGGTCTCTGTTCTTTATGAGGGACCTCCTCTGCTGTAAACTGGCAGCCAAAATAGCAACCTTACAGGAAAAGAGGATTGGAAGGCCAGGACTCCAAACCTTTGTTGAGAGTAACTGCTGACACTACACAGCTCAGGGCCTGGCAGAGCACTGCTGAGCCATCCTGCTTCCTGAGCAGGCAGGGGAGCACAAATCCCTCCTGGAGGAGCAATGGGCTGGGTCTCACACCCCCCAGGAGTGGTCACCAACCAGAACACCTGACCCAAACCCCATCCTGATCCTGGGAGAGGTGAGACTTACAACCTGCATGTCCCAGCTCCACCTCTCCCATTTCCTCATACCTTTTGTTTGCCTGGGTCTGTGGTGCCAGCAGAGCCTCCTGAGGAAACACCCTTTTGGTGGCACTGCTGGGTGTCACTGTTCTGTGAGTCTTTACACTCCACCTAATTAATGGGCTGGAAAGCAACCTTCAGAGACTGCCCCAGCCAGGCACTTCCCAGGGAAATGCTGTCTAACTCTATGGCCAGCCCCAAATGTGGGAAAACTATGTTCATTTCTTCCCAAGCTGCCTTACCCATTCCTGTGAGCATTGCACAACGAGTTGGCTGCAGCAGCAGCAGGCAGTGATAGGTGAGATAACTGCTGGAGCACTTCTGCATAGGAAGGTATTTTCAGGTGTTAAATAACTGAGATTCACAACATCTCTATCTATGAACACAACACACACAGATACTCTCCTGCCTTAGGAGCTGCAGGCTGATTTTCTACAACTGCCTGTTTGTATGGAAGAGTCATTTTGCAATTATTTTCTTCACAAATAAATCCACTTTTTTTGAGCCTGCCTCTTACACTGAGAACCTGCCAAGTACTTTCTGACCCCTTGTGGACTACATTATTATTTTCTGATCCAGGCTCCTCTGTTTTTTAGTTTTAGTCCTGTCCTCCAGAAAGCTGTTTGAAAAGGAAATTTGTTTGGGGTTATGAACAGCCAGTATTGAATTTACACAGCAGTAGCTGAAGAAAATGTTTCCTCCCTACAGTTGTTTTGTACTCAGAGAATGCTTTCTTTTAAACTGCTGTGTGAGGATGACTGAACTCTTTCCACTGGGAAGAGCCAGTGCATCCTTATCAGAGCTCAGCCTTCGAAACACAGCCAAAATAAACTTATCCCAAAAAAGGTTGTTTGGTTCCATGGTAGTGGTCAGTCTGATGCAACTGTGGGACAAAGTTGCAATAAATCCCCCAAGAAAATTAAGAGCAGAAAGACAAAGAAAAGATCCTCCCATTTTCTCAGATGTTACAAACCTTCCAACATGCACCCTTGGCAGGTATCACAATATGAACAGCGACTATGAAGTACGAATATAAAATATTCAGATGAAATATGTACACTGAAAGTGGTCCAGACATGCACTTCTAGAAAAGCCAGACACGAGGAGCATCTGAACTCCTGATGACCAGTGGAAAATCCAGTATGTTGTCTCTTGTAGGGCTCTGTAAGCTGTGCAGTACAAACAGTCTGAGGGCATTGGACTCTAAAACCCTGCTCCTGTGCTGGCTGTGCTCAGTCCCCAGAGGCAGGAGCAGGGAGCTGAGCAGCCTCTGCAGCACACCCAACAACAGAGCTGCTCTCACACACTGCCACTGCAAACACACCCCGTGCTCTGGCTCCAACTGCTGCCTGTAACCACAGGGTAACGACCAGCCTGATTAGCAAGACTTTGTTTTAAAACAGCTGGTAAGCTCAGATAAGCAACTTCTCCTAGACAAGAATACCAGTAAAAACCAGGTTTGTAGGTTTACTGAGGATAAACATTGCACTTGAAGTGACTATTGCAAGTTAATTATGCCTTGTGGAAATTTGTCAGTGATCTTCATTGTGTGCAAACTCTGCTTCGTGCCCAGATCCTGAACAAAATCACAGGAAATTGTTTAAGATGAAAGGAAAGCAAGCACAGAAAAATCTCTTTTATTCACTTAGTGGTTTTGGAGTCTGACTGAGACAGGCCAAAGCACACTGGTATGTGCTAGTTTCTCAGGTGACCTGAAGAGCTACTACAACAGTTTAATGCCACATTAAAGAAGTTTTTAAACATTAGGCATGACAGCCAAAACAAGGCCACCTTACTGATCCCATAGAGATAGTTGGAAACAAGCTGAGGAACAAACTGCACACCTCCACTGGGCTTCATCTGCTGTTTCAGAACCAGCCTCTCTAATGTTCTACTCATCATGCTAAAAGTCAGTCTATGACCACAAAGGATCCTGCAGTTACTCAGCTTCTCCCAGCTCCTCTCCCTTCCAGACCCAGCCCACAGTGGGTTTCTGGCTGCAGGCACTCGAGTGGGGCCTGGTTACATGACAGGACATTACAGTCAGGCCAGTGTCTGCTTAACAGCCCCTGTGAAGCCATTTCTCTTCTTTCCAGGAATGCAACCTGCTGAGGAAGGGCTCAGTTCTCCTGGCTGACAATGTCATTTTCCCAGGAGCTCCAGATTTCCTGACCTACGTCCGCAAGAGCCCCCATTTCCAGTGCACTAACTATCCATCCCATCTGGAATACATGCAAGTGGAAGATGCTATGGAAAAGGCTGTGTTTTTGGGATAAAGAGAGCCATTGATACTCAACCTTTGTTTCAAATGATGTAAATGCAGCTGCACAGGTTAACTTGTCCATGCTCTAATTTTTGGGGAGGGTTTTTTAATTACTTTTATTTTGAAGCCTGTAATTAAAGCAAGTGCTAGTGGAGATCTTTTTAGACTAGGTGGAAACCAAGACTGGGAGTGAGCAGGGTAACTGCTCTGTGCCATTGTTCCACATAATTCAGCAAACCCAAGGTGATGCACATTGCCTTGCCTTGACCAAGACATCATCTAACAACAGAGTCTGTTATTTTGAGCTCAAAGCTGAACAACCACAGTTTGGGCTTAGGGCAAGGTGGAGAAATACACTGCAACTTCTGAAGACTTGTGTCCCCAAGCTGAACTCATTAATGGCTCTCAAGAGTAGAAAAAAGCAGGCATGTTGCTAAAAAAGACCATTTCAGGTGCCGTAATTTTGCTCAGTTACTATCATGCCACCTTAATGCAGTGAAGGTCCTATAGTGATATCAGATACTTTTTTGCATATTTACTGCAAAAGTTAATAATCTCTATGTGAGAGAAAAGAGCACACACACTGAAAGATGAAAGACCCATGCAGTGATGAGAAAAACAAAACAGAATTTTGCAAAATACAAACAAATAAAATTATTAACCTGCCCATGGAAATGGAGGGAACACTGAAGTAGTAAACAGATTAAAATAAACACAGTAACAGACAGAGAACAAAAGGAGCAGACTCCTCCCAAAAGCATACAAAACTGTGTAATATTTGACCTTGAGAAAATGCTGTTTATCTCCTCGTTATACTGTATATACATAGGATGTGATTTTTAGGGGCAGGGCAAGCTGCTTACTCTGAAGTGCTGTGTTATGTTTAAGGCACTGTATAAAAATAAAGCCAAGAGAGAATGGTTTCCCCAGGTGGGTCCTGGTTCACTCAGTGCTGTTAAAGCTCGGGAACAGTGGGGGTTGTCATGGAGAAGACACAAAGCCAAATCTGAAGTCTCCCACTCACCTGAACAAGGCACCAATCCAGTGGCAGTTCCCAGCACGTCCTGCTGTGATTATATAATAAAGTAAACGGTTGTATTTATAAATAAAACATAAAAAACAATAGAGCAGGGACGTGACTTCCATTGTCTCCCAGGAATTCTGCACTACACTTGGGAATTCCAGCCTCAAAACAGCCACAGAAAGATCCAACAGTTGCAAATCAGAGTGAAAATCAGGGATAACCATTCTCATCTTTCCCAGAATGAATTCTTTCAGGCCTGTTAGGAGTTTCTTCCTTTCATAGCCCACCCTCCTGCAGTGGTACCTACCCTGGCCTGGGTGCTGCACAAAATCCACCTCCAGGACACCAGTGAGGAGCAGAGGATCACCACACAGTACAGAGACATCACTGACCAGAACATTTTTCTGTACACCTGAGGTCACAACCCCAAAGAATCCTCTCTCGTTTCTGGACTTAAACCCCTTTGCACTCCACAGACACTCCTGCCACTGCAGGGCACATCACCAGAGCCAGGAACAAACCAGCCTCAGGTACCCGCTGAGGGATGTGTAAGGCTAAGCAGCTGGACTGTTCTGCACTTTACAGGAGAGGATCAGAAAAGTACATTCCTACTGCTAGTTAATGGCCAAAATTACTGTCCAAGAGACTGTCAAGCAAATTAGGGAAGATGGGAAACTGTAGAGATAGCATGGATACTGCAAAAGATGCACCAGTGAATAATGTGTGTAATATATGTGGCAAACATAACAGCCACCTTTTAGTATAAAAAGGTATTTTAATTCATTAGAAAGAATCTCCCACATGGCAAACTGTAAAAACAAACACAGTGTAGGTACTATCAGAATATTCACAGAATTCCATATGTAAGAAAAATTTTTCCACTTCACCACACTTTTGAAATGCTCTTAATTATTGGTGGCAAGGGATGAAAAGAAAAAAGCCTGACTCAGTTTGCATGACTGACAATTAGAAAAAAGGCTTTTGGTCAGTTGAGCAAATATGATCTGGAGTCACTGACACATAAATGTGAAATCTCCCAGGGATAAGAAGGACTTTTCAAAATAAGTCACGCTTTGAATGCTGGGAGAAGCAAAAGGCAGACAATGGATCTTCTAATTCAAATACATTCTAAGAAACTACTGTTACTGCAACATCATCTTACTACAGTTAGAAGACACAACCTGTTCTTGCCCAAACCAGGTATGAAGTTGTGTGTCTGGAGCACGTGTTTAAGGAGTGCCCACTGAGAGTTGAAGGCTCCCAAGGGAAAGAACTCCCCTAAAACAACACAGAGCTTTCAGCAAGTTCTCACAGCTCGTGGCACAAGTCAAAGGCAGCAACTCTCCTGCATCACAGCCCCCCTGCAGGCAATCCTTACCCCAACTGACATCTGAGCAAACCCACGGGTTTGTACAGAGCTCCCGCCTCCTCCACCGGCTGAGGAGGTGAAGAGCAGCCCACTGGAGATTCTGAGCCGTGAGCCAAACACTGAATACAGGGCAGAGAACACACAGAGACCTCCACAAGAGTAGCAACAGAGCCCTGAGATCCCAACTGTCCCCCTGAGGTGACAGCTCCAGGGCAGTGAGTGATGTGTCCGGCTGTGGCTGCAGTCAGGAAGGACTCAGTTCCAAGGGATCTTACACCACCCCTGGGATTGCTGTGCACACACTGAGCACAGCACAGCAGTTTCAGTTTTTGCCCTTGTCCCTACACCTCAGTTAATGGCCACACTGCAAAACAACGTCCCGTTTAAAACATCTCCTCTGTCAGCTCCTACCAGGAGATTCTGCCATGGCTGTGCTTCAGCTGCTCAGAGACCTTCCCAGTGAGACACTGGGGAGGAGACCCTCGGGGACAGAATATTCCCCCAAGACACTGCTTAAACCTTAAACAGATGAGGGCTGTGATATTTCTTGCCCATTGTTACCAGGTTAACCTTTCACCTGCAGGACTCACTGCTTCTGTTTGCCCAACCTGTGAGGAGCTGGAAATGAAATCATTTTGACAGCTATAAAAGGTCAGTTGTAAAAACAGCATGTTTGTTTTAGCTCAGTACCTTACCTAACAGCATCTGCTGTTCATTGCCATATTAGTGCAGCCACGAAGGAAACATCGATTCCTGAGTGCAGAAGAACCCCGACGGCACCGGGGAGCAGGATGGGCCCAGGAGTGGGATGGGCCCAGGAGTGGGATGGGCCCAGGAGTGGGATGCTGGGCCCAGGAGTGGGATGGGCCCAGGAGTGGGATGGGCCCAGGAGCAGGATGGGCCCAGGAGCAGGATGGGCCCAGGAGTGGGATGCTGGGCCCAGGAGCCCACATCTTACCAGGGCACCAGGGAAACTCTATCCTCCAGCTGCAGAAACAGATCCAGAGAGCATTTTACAGAACTGCTGGGAATGCTTTGAAGACATCTGCAACAAGGAGGGCATAATAAGGAAGGCAAGCTGGAGGCTCTTAACCGGAACCTTTAGTGCTGTGAATGGTACAGGGAGGAATTCACTGATGGCAAACTCTGGTACTGGCAATGATTGATCAGCCTCTCACTCAGAGGAAACCCGACCTCCACTGTGCCTGCCAGGCCTGGCAGGACATCACACCGAGATTCACTGCCTGTGCCAGGGCCCACGGACGCACGGGCTACGTACGGGGTGTTTGGGGGCATCGGCCTCCCTGCTGACCTCACCAACACAGGGCAGTCCTCGAGAGAATGAAGGTCTGCTGGTGCCTGGATATTGCTTTAAATACATGGGTGACTCTTCAGTATCAGGATTTTTTTCCATCCCACAGTAACAAATGTGAATTATTTGGCGCATCCCCAAAATAACAATTTCTCATGTCAACCAAACTTCATACATTGCTACAATCTGTTATTCTTACACACTTCTATTTATGAGAATACTCGCACACATTGCAGAAATGGGAAATCTTTGTAAAGTTTTATTTTATTAACAAGTTGGTGATTTTATTACCAAGTTGGACTTTATCACCGAATTGGGAAAGGTTAATAACTTCTCAAATAGAAAAGCTATCAACAAGTTAGGTTTGTGCTCACAAATGTGCTGGCCTTTGAACAGTGATGCAGATGTCTTTCCCACAGAAATATGCCTGTATATTAAAAAAAGAAAAAAAATCCCACGATCTACAATCCAGGGTTGGGCTACAACTCCAGCATCTGGCAGCGAGTCAAAAATGTTCAGCTTTACTCATTTAAAGGATATTTCCATTGCCCTCATTACCACTGACCTTTTGCTAACACAGAGCACTGACCTGAGCTAGGGTTGAATAATCCCCTGCTACAGAAAACTGCTGCTGCAAAGCCAAGGAATATTTGAGATACCTGAGGTAACAAAAAGATAACCAATGGCACATGTATTCTTTCCAGGCATGGTTTATTGAAAACACACCAAATTGTTATCCTACATACCTGGTTTCTAACAAGCATTCTACTTGTCTGCATTATGGAAAGATCCTATAATAATAATACATTCTGTCACGGTAACATTTGTTCTATGAAAAGCATAATCCACCTTTTTTTCCTCTTCATACTTGTAAAATCAAACCATTCTAGGTGTTTCAGTTTATAGTACAGTGTAAATACAATGCAAAATCCCACCAGTCTAAACTACAGAGAGAATGTTGAGCAGTATTACAGAAAACACACTGTTGATTTTTTTTTTTAATTCTCCTACCATGAAAATTTTAAGGCACATGATAGTTACAAACACATTAGCTACTAATTACCAGTAAGCTTCTTAGTCTAGTTATTTTGTTTCTCTGAACAGTAAGAACCAGATTGGCAGGCCTTGTTATATCCTATCTTCCTCCTCACCTTGGACTTCACATCATCCTACCCTGATGTCAAACCTAAGACAGAAAACAAAGGTTCATAATACCTTCCCCTTAAATGCACTAAATTAGTTACTGTACCAGTAAATCAGAGAATTTCTCTGTCAAAGATAAGGAAACACCAGATTTTAGGGGCATCCAAACAAAGAAATTTTGCAGGAAACTACAACTATATAAACACCTTCAAAAGCTGTGAGAGCACAGCTCCAGCCCAGCAGCACAGCCCGTGGCTGGAGGCACTGGCACGTGGAGGTGTCACTGAGTGTCACACTGGGGGTGTCACTGAGCACAAGGGGCTGTAACCACCCTTGTGTGCCCATGGGGCTCCTGAAGCTTGGCTTCCTCGAGGGTTTGCCATGTGCCTCTTACAGGGAGCTGAGCCTGTGCTCAACTTTAAGGCAGGTGGCAGAAGGGAACTCCCCACCTTCAGTCTCCTGAACTGCTCCAGGAGTGCAAACTGCCCTTCCCAGCACGAGCCTTTCGCTAGAAAGCATTGCTGGAACCTGCTCCTCAGGGCAGGCACGAACTGATGAACCTGCTGCAGCAAACACACCACCCTGCTTTCTTCAGGTGTCCCTGACAGCCAGTCGGTTCCTGGTCAGTCCCTTCTGGGACATCCCGGCAGCAGGGACAGGATTTGCTTTCCCAATGCAGGTGCCTTCAGAACTGGCAGGTCTGAGTGCACGGAGCAGGACTGGGACAGGCAGGTGGTGTGCCCAGAAGACACTGAAGGTTGGGACCTGTGGCTGCCCAAGCTGTTCTTTGGGGAGCATTTCAAGCTGACAACACATCTTGAGTTGCACTTATGGCTAATATGCTACTTAATTCCAAGACAGAAACAAACTGTCCTAAAGCCCTGGCTTTCCGCTCTCCTGCTCGGATTCTGCAGACGGACGGACCGACCTGGGAAGCACAACTGCTCACACACCAACACCCAAACTGGGTGCTTCTCCAGGGGAGTCGACACACGATTTTGGTTTCTTTAAACCTCCACAGCTTAACAAAGGTGCTTGTTCTGCAGTAATCACATGCCATCAGAAGTCTCCCTCCCCCTGTG